ATTTAAAGATCGGCTTATGAGATCAATATTACTTTTTTCTGATGACTTAATTAACACTAAAAATAGAGTACAAGTTTTTTTTTACGTTAATACATTTTCATCCTTTCTCTCTATTACTTGTGACATAAGTAAGTTAGAAATCCCTAATAAAGTGTAAAAGCCTTAAAAAATCAGAGAAATTAAACTGCAAGTTAACAATAAAAGTCATACATACTTTTTATTTTACTCTCATAAATTGCATAACAATTTTATAAATCTTGAGATGCAAATCTGATGCCTTTTACTATTTTGTGAAACACGATCTAAAAGGAATGTTGAAATATAGGAGTAGAATTCCAAATCCACTTCTCTCTTCCCACAAACGCGGCAGACACAACCATAGAAATGTCACAGACCATATATGAATAACGTTTTATTATAATATATGAGCTACTTCCTCATTCCATTTCTAGATGATTAAGTAAAAGAATATTGAAGAAATGTGTTCCAAAATAGATAGAGTAAAACAAGCTCGCTGTAATCAGCAATAGCAACTACATTGTGTTTTACATTTTAATCCCGTAGAAATTGCGCTGACAACTTGTTTTAATTATATCCAACATTCTGTCTTTTTATCAAAATTCAGTTTATAAATACAGATAAATCGAATTATAAATAATTACACAAGTATAACTTTAGAGACTGTGTTCTCGTTTGTCCCTATAATTTTTTTTTATTCGCTACAACAAATCAATGTAGACATGCCGTTCATAATATGCCTCTTGGTTTCTCTGACTGACTAAAGGATCTAGCAAAATAGAAATTTCTGGCAAATAATTGATTCGAAGTCGAGCTATCGTTAAATCTAATTTTACATAGAACATTTGTGACTATAATCATTGACTGTCATCATAGAATTTCTAGAATATCTCAATAGATTATATTGAATCTGCATGCAAATATTAATTTTAAATTGTTTGAAGTTTAGTTTTTTAGATGATTTTACTAAACACCAATAATTTTAACTTATATACGAAGATAGTTATTTGTTGATTTTGATTGTCATAAAATGCTTCATATGAACTCATATACTATAATTAAAACTCTCGTCTTGAATACAATCTGTACATTTCATATTGGGCAGTTATGAAAGGTAGAGTTGATCTACCTATATAGAGTATCAAACAACCGATATTTGTTGTTTCAATATTGAATAGTTGTTGATTTAACTGTTTTCACTACCTAAAGAAAACATGATGACGGTTTTTTTCATGCATATGGTTGTAATAGCTAGCATTCCATCGATAAACTGGACTCTTTTTTTATGGTAAAAAAAACTACATGGTAATCAATAAATAATACCAAATATGAGAATCGAAAGTTTTGTGTAGCCTATCTAACCAGGAAGTTAAATTTGTCTTCATTTCACTAGATCTGACTTAGGTGGTAGAAAGAAAATCATTGTTAATTATTCTAATCAGAAAAATCAATTGAGTGACAGGAATAGTAGTGAATCAACAACTAAAATGACCATAGTTTTGACAAAAACTGCGAAGATTTGCTATAAAGATGTTCTTAAGTATTGAATTGGTTGTTGTTTTAGTTTAGCGAATCAATCCAGTGAATTTATCGGTAGCTCATCAGTTACAACAATTGTTTCTCGTATGTATAAAGTAATCACTGCACAATATTACACTCTAATATTTATTTGTTTTCGTAACAAAACATCAATTTACATTTTAACCTATATAACAATTCCAGCTATTGTGATGCTGATAATGATATAATACGATAAATCAATTGTTGTCTCTTGTTTTTCAAATCTTTTTTTTTTGATTCAAGAAGTTGTCACTGGGTTCAGAAAATACCGACATTCGATAGTAAAGAAAAAACTGTTGGACATTGCTATGCGTTTGATTCTATAATTGAAAATATTTATAACTAATCTATGTGTACAATGTCTTATAAGAATAGTTAGTGTCTCATTTTGACTTTTAAATTAATGATTAGTTCTAACTTACTTGAATATGTATTTATTCAAATTGGAATATTATTTAATGTGATATAACCAACAAAACAAAATTATTTCAATACAATAACAGAAGGCTTTCTCTTAATGCGACCATTAAATATCTATAAAAGTGAAAACGTGAAGGCTTTAGCAAAGTCTTTCGTATTAATGAAACATGAATACTCAATTTTGAACAATTTGTTGTGCACGTCTATTATACTGTGACTATTGACAAGTATCATCTTGATTAAAATAAAAACTTTTTTTTTGTACAAGCCTTTTATTATTCTCTTCTCACCGTTGCGGTCGTAATTGTATATTGAATTAGTTACAAGGATTGATAGAGAAATAATACAGAGAGTGATCAAAGTCCAGAAAAAAAATGTGGGAAAGAGCAAACAAATAAAAATGAATGAGAAGGTTTCTCGGAGCTCGATAAAGCATAAAAAATGTCTTTCATCGAGCCTTAATATTGAATCGAAAGTTTCATAAGATGATATTCAAATGGTGGCTATAAAACATATTTTGGCGTGTGAAACAAATCGTTTAGATCAGTGCAACACAGAAACCATGTTCTACCTTCCTGCTATAAAGATCTGCGAGTGTTCAGAAACATTTGCCCCCGTAGGATATGACCATTGAATGATTTCGCCAAAGCCTTGCAATATTTTTCTTGATAGGCGTAAAACACATCATCGAGTGATCAATCATCATAGACAAAAGCAAACAAAAAATGCTCTCAGCATATTCAACGATATACATGTTTTAGTGACCTGTAGTGAAAATGGTTAAGCATTAAGCGTTACTAGTTATTAAACATAGGCTAAAGAGCTAGCGATCAAGTGAAAAAATGAAACACAAATTTAGAAAAAAGAGAATATCGAAGATTCGAAAAAGTTCTACCATATCTGGTTGACTTGTTAATGACACGGGTAAAGAACATTGTTTGAATTTTTGAATAATTTTTCTACTGAATCGCACGTACAGAATAAAACTCGAGCCAGTCGAAAAACTTATGTAACTTTTACTCTAACTAGATACATTGATCTGCGAAATAGGAATTTTTCCAGATTTTTCTGATCTTATTATATTCTAACTTTAATATACAGTGAGATCTCTATTATTTGACATTCATATTTATTCTTGATGACGAAACTCATCAATACTATAAATCAGAATTAAAAAGAAAAATTTTCCTTCTAACTCGAATCTGATTATTCAATATATTGATGTTGATGATATTGAGTTAATTATCAACATAAGTACGAGTGCGAGTACAAATACAATAATAATCAAAGTTGATCAAAACTTATGGAAAAGAAAACTTCATTTTAAGAATAACAACAAGAACAGATTGACTATTTTATTTTTCTCTTATTAGTAATATTCTAAAATTTAGTTCATTTATTTAATAATTTCAATATTATTTTCATTGGAAGATAACTCGAAATAACTTACTTTGGGTCTTGATCTTGATTTACCATTTTTGTTATTTTTTTATTGAATTCGTTGTAGGTCGTTATTGTCATCAATTCTCCAAATTCGTCAATTATTTTCATATATATATATGGAAGTTACAGAGTTTGGTGATAGAATAAAATGGTAAGTTTATCACATGGCTCTCAGTTTTTCAAATAATTGTACGGCAAAATTCTTGGCGTTTTTTTTTGTTCAACTCTCTCTTTAGACACAATTTATTAAACATGTAAGTCTTTTGAATAGATTAATGTATTATATGTAGTAGCAATCTTCATGCTCACGCTTCAATCTATTGCAATGAAAAATCCAATCATCGTAATAATAAACATATTCAGAGGATTTATAATCAAAAATGCAATAATAAAGATTTTCAATATCGGTTAGGTGATTATCGTGAATAGTAAATAAATAGTAATCATTATGTTAAAAGAAATTTTTAGTCAACATCATCAAATGAGAAACGTCTATTCAAAGAAGTTCATTTGTATGAATGTCATTTTTTTATTTCAATATTTATAATTCAAATGCAACAAAAGCATCATTTTTTTATCGTTTATTAGTTGTCTTCCCAAACTATGATGTTTAATATACAAGAAATTATTCATCGAAAGCTTCAAGTTTCATGGAACTTGAGTTCTTTTCTGTATTTTTTTAGATTATTTTTAAGAGAATCAAAGATCTATTTACCCATATTCATAATAGTCATGTTAAATTATTCGTATATTTATCTATTTCATAAACAGAAAACATTAGTCATTATTAACTTAGAAAATATATATATATAAGTTTTGTACTTCACTGTGCATGAACTAAGATTAAAAGCTAATTGGAAATTTAAGTCTTAAAATTCATTTGAACAAGCAATAAATAAAAAGAAAATAATACTTTTGTCAGTATCACAGACAAGAAATAATTATAGATATTCGATAACACCAATGTAAACATAAGCAAGTTCATCTTACGCATATGGGAATGCAGATTTCATCGAGACTTCAATCAATCGATTTAATGAGATCATGAAAATAGACGTTACAACTCTAATAGTAGCTTCTTTTTTTTAGCTTCGCTCATGTTATATGAATTAACATATTAGTTACGTTATGTACATTAAATTATATATTTTTATTCGTAATAAGAAGTTTAATAGATAATGCAATTCAAATACCATTTATGTTCTAATTTTATACACTGATTAATATTGCTTCTCATAAGATACAATATTTAAGTCGAAACTATGCCGGAGTTTCCGTTGTATAGTATGTGATATTTCAACACTCATTTCAACTCCATTTTTACCATAGTTCATGAAAAAAAAAAGTCTACAACTGTGTGTGATCTAATGTCTAAATGTTTTCGTCTATCATGAAGGAATTGAGACATTATATAAGATGATTCTGTAAATTCTAAATAAGAAAAATATTTGACATCATTATTAACATTCTTTAACTTTCTGATAACAGTACAAAAAAAATTATTTCAGTCTTTTTGATTAAAATAATAAATTAAAGCTGAAATGTGAATGTATTGTAAATCATTTCTTCATTATACACACTCCATATGGTCTAATATCATCAGTATCGGAAGATATCCAGTATTCACCATTTCCAGTTTCTTCATGAGGTAATTTGATTAAATGTTTTGGATTGACACGATTTTGGAGAATAACGAGATATTGTTGTCCATCTGTGGTAAAAGATTTGGCAAAGCCTTTTGCTACATTAACGTCTGGCGTTGAATAAATGCCACGACCATGAGCAAAACGCTTATGTTTTGTTAGATCATAACCGATCTGTGCAATTGAATTTACTGCGTCATGTTTTGTTCCATGATATGATACGGGCCATTCATCAGAGCTATTGCTCGAGCCAAGCCAGACTCCATTTTCATACTTTCCAACTACGTTAATTGCATAACGTCTCCATCCACAAGGTCGACGATATTCAACTCCACCACGAGTAAACTTTTTCCCATTGTCATTAATATTAGTAAAATCATAATCATACGTGGGATCCAATGCAGTTTTATCTAAGACTAGCAAATCATCTGAATTAATGGCTCTCAAACGTACGACAGTTATTTCACTAGAATCTTGAACATCATATTCACTCAATAGATGACCTTCATCAATTTCTTGTCCACAATGAATTAAATTTTGTTTATTACGTAATATACCTTCTTTCTCATATATTATTTGTTTCAGTTTATCGACACTTGCATCACATTCAATTGTACAAGGAAAGGAAGTTTTCGTTGCCAGAATTGTGATGTATATTGTCATAAATGATTCATCTTTATTTGTATCCTGTTGACCAACTTTTCCATAGACAAAACATGTTAGATGTTGATCAAATATGGAAATTTTGTTTATATGTTGTTGTGTTTGTTGTGGTACATTTGATTCAGGTAGAATTTCTTTACCCAATATTGCTGAAAATGCTGCAGCCAACATCTGTTCATTGTCATCAGTAGAAGAATCTCTCGACATATTTTGAATGTTAAAGTCAATGTAAAAATTCGCAATAGATTGAAATATATATTTTTCAAGTTTTATAAAGTGTTTTTCAATTGGAAAAAGCCAACAGTATTAGTCACTACGAAAATATAAAATTTTTTTTCTTTCTCTCTGTTACTTCTCGATAACGAGTAACAAAAGTCGCGTAGAGAACAGAACAAGTTTTACATGTGTCTCACTGTTTTGAGCATTATCTTGAAATTTTACCAACACTACGTCAACAAAAGTTGTGTTGATGCAAGTCAACATCGTCAGAACGACAAAAAGAAAACAAAGTCTGCGCACATGGCAAAAATACAATATAAAATTTATGATATACTTTTCAATACTTTTTTTATCGTGGGCTAATTCTAAAGGGCCACATACACATAAAAGATTAGATCCTTTTGCACAAACACATAAATATTGAATAGTAAGAAAACTGTTCGCAAAGAATTTTATCAGTGAGCTATATAATGACGAAGTAAACCAACTTGAAAATTCATCAAACGTACCAAAACAAAAAAAAATGATTTCTCTTCTCACGACATTTGCGGGCATATTTTAGATTTAATGGCATCGCATGTTGTTTATCAAGGAAAGCGTGCATTAATCATTGGTATCAATAAATATCGACGTGATCCATTACAATACTGTATTCAGGATGCTGAAGATTTAAGTAAAACTCTTCGTTGTATCGATTTCGACATAACCTTAGCACTGGACTGTAATTGTAATAAATTCTACGAGGTAATTGACATATTTGCTGAAACAATTCAACATGATGATTTAGTATTATTTTATTTTGCTGGTCATGGTAAGCAATCGGAAGATGAAAATTATTTATTACCATCGGATTATGATTATAATTTTCGAACCCATGAACGTGACTACATTACGAATCATGCCATTAATGTACAATATATCATGAAGAAAATAGACGATAAACTGTGTTATGTTACAATCTATATATTTGATTGTTGCAGAAAATTGATAAAAACTCGAGCAAAAGATATGAATCAAGGTCTATCACCGATGAGCGCGCCACCAAAAACTCTCATTGTATTTGCGTGTGCTCCGGGTAAAACAGCAATGGAGGAAACTCTAAATAATAGAAATGGTATTTTCATTGAAAACTTATTAAAATATATTTCAAAACCCAATCAAGATATTGAAGACATAATGAGGAAAGTTGCTTGTGATGTAAACTTAAATACAGATGGTTTCCAATTGTCGTATCGAACAAGTTCACTCACACAAAAAATTTATTTAGTAACACATTAAAGTCAAGGTAATCATGTTTGCTTTTGAAACTTGACCATTTCAGTCATTTTCAAAATAATTCAAATGCGATGAAAATAATTACTATTCGAAAAATTAAAATTTTGTTTTTCTAGAAAATTGTCATTTAAGAGCTATTTGAGAATCGACACAAGGCTTTACATCGTTCCTCTCAGAAAAACAAATCTTACTCAAAGATCATATAATTCAAAATTCCAAAGTATATGATCATAGAATAACTTACAATGGAAGGATGTGATCTGTTGAGCGAAAACCTTAGACATGTTCGGGTCAAAAGAAAGCTCTCAACGAGAAACTAACAAATTTAAAATATGAGCTGCGTATGGCGTACCTGGACAGAGATATTCGATTTTTAAGTTATGCATTAGTAGGGTATGGAAGCATGATAATAGATGAACTATGATCCATTTCAAAATAGAAGAAGGGTGATTGTTTTTTGAATAACTTTTTAACAGAAATTGCTAACGGTCTGTGGTGTTCATCATTCGATAGAGGCGAGCATTCTGCATTTTTCTATAGATGGTTAAAAAAGTCATCTTATGATTCTGATGAGCAGTCAATAAAATTCAAAGAAGTATTTAAAGTGCTATAAAAGTTGTATGGAATTTCAATTGTAATTAATGCAAGGTGTGGGTGTGGGTGTGGGTGTGGGT